CCCTCCTCAAACTCCGTGACCCAGACCCAACCTGCACATTTAGGCTCACCTTCCATTACCTCACACCTCATATTTTCACAGTGGTAATGTGAAATTGCTTCTGGTGCCCTGTGTAGACACCTGTTCTTATCTCCCTTAGCACTGCCAATTCTAATCTCTCAAGATTCAGTTTAGGGATCAATTTTTTTAAGAAGCCTTCCCTGACCTTCCAGGATGGCCCAAATGGCATGGCTCTGCGTGTTGCCATAGCAACCAACTGATGGGATCTCAAAAAGCTGGGCAACCATTTTCAATGAACACTAAAGCCTTACGCTATGTAGGGAGAAAAGGAGTATTCATAAAAATCATAGATATAATCTGCTGGGGGTTTGTTTAAACTCTTAGGATAGGTAATTAGAAACAAACAGGTTACCTGGTTTCTAAAATTCTGATAAAGGGGGAAAAAAAAACACCAAAAAAACAAAACCTTAATCCTACAGTCTTTTGTGAGAAAACTGTAAGCCAGAACAGTCCTTGGTTTTCTTTCTCGGACTCAGCAGTTTTGCAGCAGTGACAACGGACTTTGGTGCCCATTAGATTCCCACACATGGCTCATGGAAACACTGAGGGCTGTTATCATATTGTGAAGTGCAGACATCCTACTAAATACACATTAAATCATTGCCTTGCTTTATCGTTTCCTTAATTTTATGCTGCCACATATACAGGGATGATTACATTTCAATTATTCTGCAAACCACCCTGATTTAGCTTATGTCCACTACATTCTCCAGTCTGCAGCACAACTGTGTCGTCCGTCCCCCACACCTCCTGTGGGCTCACCCTCTTGCTCCTTGTCCCCTCTTGGTCATGAGCACACAGAGCACTGATAGGAATAACTGGGTATAAGACACAGTGAGAAGTGCTTTCCTCTGGACCTGTTCAGTTTACCCATTAATTTTAGAAAAGCAAAGAAAACGATTAATCAACCATTACATTTTCTTAAAAACACCTTCCTCCATGGAGTATCCATCTATCATGTATAGATTTACTTTTTTCTTTAGCTATATGCTGTGAACTATTGATGAAAGGAATAAGCTACACGCTCACAGCTTGAAGGCTGGTTGTCTTGAAATGTTACATATTTGAGGAACCCTGAGATTAACCTACAATGATCTCTTCTAAAGCAATTTCATTTCAGGAAATACATTTTTTAGGTCTTTCACTTAAAAGGGAAATGTCTGACTGTGGAAATGGACGTCCTACGATCTGGCTGACCTTACCAAGCTACAGCCTCTTTAGCCTAACAAGTTTGTCTACAAAAATATAAATCCAGTTGACTTTACATAATAATCAACTCTCTTCTTCTTTCACAGCCTCATAACTCTTCAGTGATTTGCGGTAGCTGTCTTCCCGACACTCCTTGTATACTGAGTATCCAAAAAGGAAATTAGGTTATAAAACAGCGTGCGGAATGTAGTCAGCTCTGTTTGTTAAGGGATCACAAAGTAAAATACACATGAGACAAAACAAGTGGGAATTTACAGTTGGAGACAGACTCAGACAGTAAAAACTCAGACTAGAATTAGAAGGTGCAGAGTAGACGTCAAAGGCCTCGCATAAATTCTGGGGGGAGTGTCACTGATAACTGGCTGATCTTGGGGAGGAAATCATTTAAGCTTTATTGTTCTTAGGCCAAATAGGTACATTTCACGGGTACCTCAAACGTTTATTTGGTGGCTACTAAATATATGTGGTCTTGCTAGGGTCTGGAGCTAAGACCATCCTGCCCTAAAAGACATCTAACAGGGGAGCTAGAAGTCTAGTTGGTGGCTCTCAATATCTTCTCCACTACGCAACTCCCAAAGGCGGGGATGCTCATTACAGGAGTAAATCTCAACAGTCCAGTCCACGTTAGAAAATGGGGAAAAGCCCCTCGAGAAAATTTTGACAGGTCCTCCATTCCCCCCACTCCCCACACACACCCTTTGAAAACTTTGAGCACTGAGAGTTTAAGAGGATCTTAACAACCTCAAAGGGCAGCTCTATGGACAAAATAACATCACGGGAAAAATGAAGATCTTGAGGAAAAAAGGAGGGCTTACAAACGACCTAACAGATACACTGTCCTCGTATCATTTATAGGATCTCTTCATACAGACTTTACAAAGGAACTTAACATTTGTTCTTAGACAATAATAAAGATCTAATATTTTAAATTCACTTTACAATTTATAAAATCTGCACATTTTGTTTTCATGTAATTTTTCATAGCAATATTAACATAGGTCAATACTACGTTTCCTTTTTATATAGAAAGAAACAGAGGCCCAGGTAAGTTAAACGACTTGCCTGAAACTCACTTGCCTTAATTAAAACTAAGTCTTCTGACCCTAACGTCAGTCCAGTTTCCGCCACAAGGGAGAACCCTCGTAAACACATATGCACGAGCGTGCATGCACATACACACACACACACAGGATAAAACAGTAAACTGATACAAAATACAAAACCAAATAGGTCATTACTCTCATGAAGTCTAGATTTAAATTTTACAGCCTTGTTTCATTCAGGTGAGCACTAAAATTCTAAATCCCAAATAAACAGGGAATACACTCTATTAATAAAAGTCTTAAAAGGCGCTCACCAAGCTTTATTATCGATGGCTGATCAGCTTTCCAGTGAAAAAGATGTACATTTAGGCTTTGCCATGTTTATGCCTCAGTTACAAAAACAATGATTTCCTCTGCTACTTCCACAAAAACGACTCAAAACAACAAGAACTTCTAGAAAAACTTCTGCTTCAGAAGCAGCGAAGGGCAGATTTTTGGCTTCTGATTACGAAGGCTGACCAGTAGCTAGGGCAACACAGATGCTCGCACTGACCACTCCAAACGCCCTCCTTCTATCACTTTATTTTTATGTACCACCTTACTCTGTTCACCAAGTAGTGAGCCTAGGAGGGGAGTTCACATACTGGAAGAAGGTTCAGTTGACATTAGGAAGGTATCAGAGGTAAATTTCACCTATTTATCTTCTACTGAGCTAATCATATACCTAAGGAAAGAGAGAAAGGGTGGGAGGGAAGCCTTCAAAAAGAAACCAATTTCAGCCATGTAGAAATTTATTCCCCCCCTCCCGTTTTTTTTTTTTTTAAATCAGCCTTCTGGTAACAGAGCCCACATTTTCCTAAGAGAAATGTCCTTCCCCGCTCTTGGGTGAGGGGCTCAGGTTGGTCGACCCCAGCCAAGACCAGCCAATCAGATCACTGCATTCCTCCACCAGAGAGATTGATTTGGAGGTGGGGGGTGGGGCACGTGAGCTAGTTCAGTCCAAGTTTGAGTCCACTGGGGGCTTTGATAAGAACGGCTGGGAACAGAAAACCTCTTTGATGGTGGCCTGGTGGCTGCCTCGTCACCATGAGAGAAGCTGCATGAAGAGTCAAGCAATGGTGAGAATGGGACTCAGTTCTAATGACCTGGCTTAAGCCCATGGCCCGCCTGAAGCCTTTCCAGTTATGTGGGCCAATGGATTTCCACTGGTTAAGCCAGTTTGTGTTGAATTTTCTGTCACCTGCAACCAAGAGGTCATATCTGGAGAAGGAAATACGGAACTCCTATTGCCAATTCAGTGCTGGCTTTGGACCCTATTAGATCATGAACAGTGTAAATAATGTAAATTCATGTAGTATCCATAAAATAATGCAAAATCAATCCCCGAAGCAAGGAAACAATTAATTGGTCAACTTTTTCATCCCAGAACGAAGGACACTTCCTTGTGGTCCCCAGCAAAACAAAGATGCAACATTCGAGCCGTTTGAGCTGAAGTCTCTGAAGTAACAGCTTATCTCTCAGAAAAGTGCCCTGAGATATAACAGTCAGGGGTCTTGATGTTGAACTTCTGAGTGAAAATATCAATTATACAATAATATCTTTACTAATAGCAAAAATTCTACACTTCGACCAATCATAGTTGTCAACATTAATAGAACCATCTGGCCTAAATCTGATGTTAATTAACTGCTTGTAAGTAAGGATGGAGGAAGGCAAAAATCAATGAAAAGACTATTTCTCCTTGGGAAGTAAAATTATTTGGACTTAAGAAAAACCTAGCCTAAAAGAGAAAATTTTTTTATTTATTTTAATTATCCATTTGGAAACCTTCAGTAGGAACAAAGGTAGATAGGACTCAAACAGAAACCTAGAATCTGAAGCAGCTGTTAAATAAAATCATTCTTTGTGGAACGTAACCTAAATTACAGACATGATCCTAATAGTCATGCTTTAATTTGCCACAAACACATATATTTATATAGTTGACCCTTGAACAACATGGGTTTGAACTGTGTGGGTCCGCTTATATGTGGGCTTTTTTTCCAATAAATACTGTAAATGTGTTTTCTCTTCCTTATGATTTTAATAACTTTTTCTTTTCTCTAGCTTACTTATTATAAGAATACAGTACATAACATAAAAAGTAAGTGTTAACTGACTGTTGTATGTCATCGCTAAGCCTTCCTGTCAACAGTAGGCAGTTAGTAGTTAAGTTTCTGGGAGTCAAAAGTTATACTCATATTTTCAATGGTGCAGGGTGGAGGGGGTGTGTGCGTGGGGGGCGGTCATCACCCCTAACCACTGTGTTGTTCAAGATTCAGCTGTACACAGATGCAGAAATGGCAGAAATGATGTACTCTGTGTGTTCTTAGTAAAAATCCTCTTTCAGATCATGCAGAATAAATAAATGACAGAATTCTTTTTTCTAAGTCTCGGATGGAAACAAACAACAAACACAATTTTGTTTTATGACTGGTTGATGTCAGTTTGCAAGTTCAAATTTTGCCCATTAAATATTGCTCAGTGAAACATCTCCAGGTGCTTTTAGATATGGCATTGCTACTATGTATCATGGACAGGCTGCATCAAAAATATTTTTTTACTTATTTCCCAATAATGTTAATTGTGCAACTAGACTACACAGTAGGAAAAAAAATGTGTAAAAGGAACACCCACATGAACATTTACCTTCCACTGCTCTTTTGAAGAACACTTTGCAGCTGCCACAGGTTACGACTCCATAGTGACATCCTGAAGCCTCGTCCCCACACACCAAACATATTTTGGAAGGTCTTGAGGATCCAGTAGAAACACTTCGTAATGTAGAGCTAGGGAAAGAAATCAAGATTTAAATAACTGTTACTCCAATAGTGCATTTGATACGCGATACAGCTTGCCTCACAATTTCTCACAAATCATGCTTCCACGAATGAATTCTAAGCCACATACTATGGGACTTAGAAAGAAAATGAAGGTAAATCCTATCAGGGAAGGCATGCGATCAAGGATTCTGTAGAACAAAGCCTCTTCGCAGTACGGAGAAATAATAATGTTTTCTTCCTTTTCCTATTTTTGAGAAAGTTTACCAAAAGATATTATTTGTATCCTAGGTGGGCAGGGAGAAGAAGCATCTTCAGCCAAGTCATTGAGTCATCATGGAAGTATTTTTGGCATCAAAGAGCTATTACAATGCTTCTCAACTTCCTTCACCCAGGCCCAGGTTATATATCTCAATTATGCCAGATTAAAAAAAAAAAATCTCCCCTTTCCAAAACAATCCACTAATTAAAATTAAAAATAAAAAACATCTTGCCTCTGCTCCCAGCAACTTTAACCCTCCCTTCCAAGCTCTGTCATTTTTTCCATGTTACCTTATATAGGTATGTTCAAATGACTTCATTTTGCTTACTAATTTGAAGGGACACACTCAATACATTTTTTAAAAGGCCATACTTGGTCACTATCTTAGCTATCTTTCATGGTAAGAAATTGAAGGGTTCTGGGTAATAGTTTCGAGGGACAAATTCAACCCTTTAAGCAACAATCTGTATGAATATTTTTTTAAAGGAATCTTCTCAAGATATATAGCACTGTGTTAGTTAATGGCACATTCTGAACAAAACGTTTTAAAATGTATAATAAGGAACCCTAGTTCTGTGACAGTTTAGCTGTATACTGAGCAGGCAAAAGAGGTGTTTTTTTTTTTTCATTTGTACTTTGCCGATATTTATCGACTATCTACCTACAGGTCTAGTGCAAAGTGTTGAGGAAATAAATATAAAAAAAACAAAAAACAGTCTTGATCCTCAGAGTTAGTGGGGACGTGAACTATTATGGTAAGGGCTATGGTGTGGAGTGAAATGGTGGCACTCTTTAGGTGCGGCCCTCCGTACCAGAAAAGGTGGGTACAGACCAGACAGAAAGCACTTCTGGAAAGGTGACAGGAGAACTGAATCTTGAAATGGGACTAGGTGACAGCCAGCCCAAGAAAAAGGGCAGTCGGCGCAGCGGCTCAGAGAAATAGGAGCCGACGTGTTCAGAAAACTCTGGGTGGATTGTTATGTCAAGGCCTTCACCTTGCTGTCATTGCTTTTGTCTCCACGTGATACAGCAGGATACCAAAAACAAACAAACAAACAAAAAACAAACAAAAACCCTCAAACATACCAAACGGCTAGAATGGTTGTGTTACACTGAGTATTTCTCTGTGTTTCAAATTAGCTAAAAATGTGATAATATTGCCTTTATAATTAATTTTTTTAAATGTTTTATCTGCCCTCTCACCAGAAATAGATGCAGGAACAAACTACTCAGCTGCTCAGAACATTGTAGCATGACTGACTTTCTAGAAAATGACTTTTTAAATCAAGGACTGAAACAATGTTCCCCAAAGTTGTTTCTCCTTCTGAGAAACTAGCTCTTTATTATTTTTATTAGCGTCCTTTGACTTCTTTACGGCATTCAAAACATTCCATTTCAGCACCAGTAACTTCTTCAGCATATTAGCCAGGAAAATTCAATCCATACTCTATCTGATTCTCTTACACTTCACAGGAAAATACAGCGACTCTGTAAGCATTTAGGATACAACTTAAAATCATCATTAAAATGGAATTGTTTTTTTCACAACTACAACCATACATGGGGTTTGTAGTTACCATTTTTGAGCCTTGCTTTTGGTCCCAATACTTAACAGTCTCTTAACTTTAGTCTTTGGAACTTTCCTCTTCTATCTGAACTCACTTTCTTGGTGATCTCTTCTAGTCTTGGGGCTTTAAATATCATCCATATACCAGGGACTTCCAAATGTTTATCACCAGCCCAGACCCCCTCCCCGTAATTTCAGACCCATTTATCCACCTGCCCATTCGACACGTTCACTTGAATGTCTGATATGCACCTCAAACTTAACACGTTCACAGTTTTGCTGATCTTCCCCTGACCCTCCCACAGAATCTCTCATCCCAGTTCAAGGCAACTGTCATGGGTGGAATTGTGTTCTCCCTCAAATTACTATATTGAAGTCCTAGCCCCTAGGACCTCAGAGTATGACCTTATTTGGGAACAGGATCATAGCAGATATAATTAGTTAAGATGAGGTAGTTCTGGAGTAGGGAGGGCCCTAATCTAATGTGACTTGGTACCTTTATTAAAGGGCAAAATTGGCACACAGACACCCACAGGGAGAATGCCATGTGAAGACAAAGACAGAGATGAAGGCAGCGATGCTTTCACAAGCCAAGGAACAACAAAGACTGCCAGCAGACTACCAGAAGCTAGGACACAGACATGGAACAGATTCTCCCTCGCAGCCCTCAGAAGAAACCAACTCAGCCAACGTGCTAACCTTGCACTTCTGGCCTCCTGAACCGTGACGTGATCCAGTTCTCTCGTTTAAGCCAGCCAGTTCGGTTTCTGGCACTTTGTGACGCAGCCCTAGCAAACTAATACAGCAACTTGGACTCATCCCTGATTATTCTTCCTCTCACAGCCCATATCCAATCGGTTAACCTCTATTCACTTTACTTTCAGAATACATTAAGCTTATGATCACTGCCCACAACCTCCTCTGGTACCACTCTAGTGCAAGCTATCAATCCCGCTTCCTGGAAGTTTATAAAGCCTCTCCCCCTTTCTCCTTGCCCCATTCCTTCTCCTGTAACCAGAATAATCTTTCTTCACTCCTCCGCTCAAAACTATCCAAGGGCTTTCCCTCACACTCAGAGGAAAAGTCAAAGTCATCCCTATGACCACAGGGCCACAATCTGTCCTGGGACATCTCGAACCTCTCGCACTCGCCTATTCCACTTCAGCGACACTGGCCTCCTTGCTGGCTCTCAGGGCCTTTGTACATGCTGGCCCGGCTTCACCTAGATTATCTGCACAGTTCCCTCCTTCACCGCCTTCAAGGCTTCATCCAAATGTCACTTTCTCCATCAGGACCTCTCTGGCCACTCTATTAGAAATACCCCTTCCTCACAACTCCCTATCCCCCTTTCTGCTTTATTTTTCTTGATGAAGCATATTACCACGTATAATAACATGTGTCTGTGAAAACTTTTGTCTGTTTATTGTTTGTTTCATCCACACAAGAAAGGAAACTCAACTGGGCCCAGGATTTTCTTCTGTGTTATGGACCACTGCGCACGGAACTGTACCTGGTACACAACAGACACCCAGTCAACACCTGAATGAATGAGTGATTCCAGATAACTGGCATTTTCATGACAACCATCATAAAATCCACCACATCATCAATTCTGAAGTCCTTTATAGAAAAGGACGTGATTTGTTTGTAACTGTTTTGAGAATGAAAAGTATGTAACGGAAACAAATTAAGAGAAACTGAAGAGAAAGTTTAGCATACAAGAAGATGCACTGTGAAATGCAAATTAAAGCAATACATTTGTTTGATCATAAAATTAAACTAAACATGAATTATTTTTCCTTCTTGTGCACTAACATCTTTCAATGACAAACGAGCACATCTGCCTTTCAGTAGCCTTCTCTTCAGTTTCTGTAACACTGTACCGAGCTCCTTCTCCTAACCATGTCTCCTCTATTTTTCAGGCTCGTATTTTCCTGGTTGCCAATATAGATTTTCTTCAGAGTTCTCTCTACCTGTGACCGTCTTTTTTCTTAATCAATCCCTTAATGATCTCATCCACCACCTCAGCTCAAACCGCTCTTGGTGGCTGACTTCCCAAATCTTTATATCCAGCTCCAACCTCTCCCCCATGTTCCAATTTGGTGTTTTCACTTCCTTTACATAACCTCTCTTCTCTGTTCTATTAGCTTCTGGAAGGGCACTGCCATCGGCTAGTCACCCAGCTTCAAACCTTGTACTCCTCCTTAACTATCAAATCTAGTCAGCCATCAAGTCCAGCTCTTTCCAGCCTGTACTGTCACATCGCCTCTCTTCACTCCGCTGTTCGTAACACTGCTTCAGGCTCTTATCACCTAAACCCCAACCTTTCCTCCCTGCAATTCATTCTACAGTGGCCACCAAATGAGTCTTCCTGTTAGAGCTCTAACTGTGTTACTTCCCAGCTCAGAAATCTTCAATCGTCCCCACCTAGTACTACCATACAGGACAACCTTGGTAGGACATTTCAGCCCCTCTTACTAATCAACCGTCCACCCCCGCAGGTCCTCTCACGCTGCCTGACCTTGGTCTCACCGCCCTCCAATAGCCCTATCAGGGTGTGGATGCCACCATGTAGACAGCCCAGCGCTTTCTCTCCCTTCCTCCCACTCCGGGAAACCAACCCTGTCTATCCTTCGCAGGCCTCTGCTGTTCCCCCAGCAGGAAGCACCGGTCTCCTGCCTCCGGATTCACTTGAGCATTCGGTCAAGCAGCCCCTTCAGCAGTCATCACTTTCGCCCTTACATCAGCGACCTGTGCACTTAACCCTAATCCCCTGAGGGCAAAAACCTTGTCCTATGCCTCTCTGTGCTCTCTGCTGTCATTAGTGCAGTGATGGTACTATTTGCCTAATGAATGAAACTGCACTCCTAATCTCATTATAGTAGAACATTAATTTCCAAAAGGCAGTTTTACACAAGGCAAATTAATGAGTCCAAGGTTATAGGTTCAATTCCCACGCAGTTTATTTAATTTGCACAGAGGGGAGAAAAAAAAATTCCAGGGACAGACGATTCTTAAGAGCTTAGCTGGCTGTCTCACAGATATTATAACATGTAAGACAGGCCCCAAAGTGTGGATGGGTTGGGAAGACCCCAGTCTACTGACGCCCTATCACATGGTTATCTTTGAAACTGAAAGATGGCACATGGTCGGGAGGTTACTGAAAATATTCAGTTTTAA